TTCGATAAATCCTGTAATTCTCGTTATAGAGGAAACTCAATATCCGGTTACGGCCAAAACAGGAATACAATTTTAAATCCAATTTGGTTCGTGATCAATTACTATTAATGGCAAGCGGAAATATGATCGAAAAATCATTTATCGCCTCTTTATTAATTATTCAATCCAGCATGTAAAGTAGGCTGGGCAATGCCCAGTGGGCATGGGTAAAAATCTACAGCTACTGATGTAAAATCAATTAAATTAGTTTGAACATGACATGTCATAGTGAACTGAAGTAAAATATTAATAATTTGTTCTTGATTCTACATTTTTGTTTAAGTTTTGCCATCAATATTCCTACACGGAGAGAAAAGTATAATGCTGATTACTATAATTATAATACCCTTTACTATAATTTATATTACTATTTGGGACAACTATCTTGTATATTGCCAGATAGTATGCATATTTAATAATTTTTAAATATCCATGTATGTTAAACCTTAAGGTAAAATATTATTATTCTCAACCAATTTTATTTTTAATTCTTATTATAATTAGATTTTTTTCATTACCAATAAGTATAGTAAATTTTAAAATATTATGCTGCCATTTTAAATAAAAAATATTTTAAAATCGAATATTTTTATGTTATCAATTAAAAATTGTAATATATTTATTGTACTTTTTAATATAAAAAAATGTTATGAGAAAGAATTGAACCTACACCTCGCCAAAGTTTTTTGTTTTGAGTGCGTTCCATCAACTTCAAATACCGACATACAGGTGTTTTGACCTATATTGGGTATCATCAGTGTCGACACGACACTGTCGAGCAACTTGTAGTAGTGGAACACACCCAAAACAAAGAAATACCTGAGCTTATATAACATGGTTGGTAAGCCGACAGAGGCGAGATGTAGGAACATCTCAACTATGCAACCAAGTAGGTTCAATTCTTTCTTATAAGTATTACCAGTAATGGGTCAAGAAAGTTTATTGAAGAAACTAAGAAAATTAAATGTTTAAAATGTCATGAGTTACTATATTGTATATTATATTTAAATATATGGTTTATTTACCTTAAACATAAAAGTATCTTTATTTTTAATATATTTTTTATTAATGTGTAATATATTATAATATTAGATGAACACCTTACATTTGATTAAATCATATTGTAAATATTACTATTTGTAGATAGTAAAATCAATTTACTATACGAACATATTAAAAATTAAAATATATATTATACATTTATGATTTAGTAATATTGGTATTGTAATCTTTACTAAAATTGTATAATAAAAAATAGTATTTTGTATTACAATCTTAATATTGTATTGACGAATATATAATATTGTTACCCTAAAATTTTGTTAAAGTAAATTTTACTATATTTTTTTTTTACTATCTCAAATTTACTATACATTTCTCTCCGTGTAAGATTACTTTATGATTTTTGCAATATGAGCCTTTAGGTTAACCCAGCAATTCAAGTGTTCTTCCTTAATAACTTAAAACGTATTAAAAGTGAAAACTCCTTTATTTCTGGAACGCAACATCGCCTCATCAGCGTTTTTCATCAAACGAGGAAACTTAATTCTTGAAGTAGTGATTATAAGTTTAATAACCGCAGTCTGTCCGGGAGTTTTGGAGGAGTTTCGCTATTTCGCCGTGCTGTACACCCTTCCACCCCTGGAGATGTACGCAATGACGCGGATGCTTATTACATGCCCGAGATGCGTTGAGGGAAACGAACTTTTTCACCAGTGGTAATAAGCAATTTTAGAATTACAAATCGACACCGAAAAAGTAAGGTTGACTCTAAAATGGAAACAGCGTTGTAGTTTACTTTATTTAATTTAATTCGTTTTAAACGTTTAATTCTTTTCATTCGTTTTGTTCTTTTAATTTCATTCATTATGTAATGTAATCTTTTGATTTGTTTTAATCGTTTATTCGTTTCATTCGTTTATTGGTTTCATTCTTTTCATTAATTTCATTTATTACATTCTTTAAATTCGTTCAATTCGTTTCATTCGTTTCATTCGTTTATTGGTTTTATTTGTTTCATTATTTTCATTCGTTTAATTTTTTTAATAATTTCTTTCATTAAATTTTTTTCCTTCGTATCATTCTTTTCATTAATTTCATTCTTTTTATTCGTTTCATTATTTTCATTAATTTAATTTATTACATTCTTTTTATTCGTTTCATTATTTTTATTAATTTGATTCATTACATTCTTTTTATTCGTTTCATTCGTTTCATTCTTTTTATTTCTTTCATTCTTTTCATTAATTTTATTTATTACATTCTTTTTATTCGTTTAATTTTTTACATTATTTTTATTCGTTTCATTCGTTTATTGGTTTCATTCGTTATATTTTTTTATTCGTTTCATTAATTCTATTCATTACATTCTTTTCATTTATTTGATTATTTTTATTCGTTTCATTATTTTAATTAATTTCATTTATTACACTCTTTTCATTCGTTTTATTCTTTTATTAATTTCATTTATTACATTCTTTTCATTCGTTTATTTGTTTCATTATTTTCATTAATTTTATTTATTACATTATTTTTATTAGTTTAATTCTTTTCACTAATTTCATTCATTACATTCTTTTTATTCATTTCAGTCGTTTCATTCTTTTAATTCTTTTTATTTGTTTCATTCTTTTCATTAATTTTATTTATTACATTCTTTTTATTCGTTTCATTCATTACATTCTTTTTATTTGTTTCATTCTTTTTATTTGTTTCATTCTTTTCATTAATTTTATTTATTACATTCTTTTTATTCATGTCATTCTTTACATTATTTTTATTCGTTTTATTTATTTATTGGTTTCATTTGTTTTATTTTTTTATTTGTTTCATTTATTTTATTCATTACATTCTTTTCATTTGTTTGATTATTTTTATTCGTTTTCGCCGACGGTGGACGAGTGGTTAGTGCTGCTGACTACAAGCCGGAGGTCGTGGGTTCGAATCCTACCAGGGGTATGGCTGTTTATTTGTGTTTGTCCTATTGTGTAATAGTCCTTCGGAGGGGACTTTAAGCCCGCGGTCCGTTCCTACCCCTAACCCACACAAGCCATTCAGTTGGCTTATGGGACTTCTTAAGAAGTAAGGGTGGAACTAAAAGAGCACTTTTTGTATATTCGTTTCATTCTTTTCATTATTTTTATTATTTTCATTCTTTACATTTTTTTCATTCGTCTATTGGTTTCATTCGTTTTATTCTTTTATTAATTTCATTTATTACATTCTTTTCATTCGTTTCATTTGTTTATTGGTTTCATTCGTTCCATTCTTTTCATTAATTTCATTCATTAAATTATTTTCATTTGTTTGATTCTTTTAATTTTTTCCATTCATTACATTTTTTCATTCGTTTATTGGTTTCATTCGTTTAATTCATTTCATTCATTTCATTCATTTCAATCATTTCATTCATTTCATTTTTAGAGAGTGTAAAACGACAAACAGCGTTGTATTTTATTTTATGGTATTTCATTTTATTCATTCATTTCATTCGTTTTATTCTTTCATTCATTATCCATTTCATTCTTTTTTTATCGAAAACCTTTGGTTTAAAAAGTTCTTTTGGTATTAAATTTTGTAACCGAATATGCAAAGTACTGAGAGCCCTAACGTTTTATAAGGGCGTAACTTGTAATATAAACGGCGTGTATAAGTGTATTCAGCAGGATCTTAGCAGGAAATAGAGCAGCTCCCTGCTGGATAAAGCCGTAAATACTGTGTAATCCATCGTGTGTCATTACGAAATTGCCTATTTTGTGTTGCTTATAAATACTTAACTAAACTAAATAGTGAAAATTTATTTAAAAATGTACCTAATTTGACATATTTGTGCATTCTATTTTACAAAGTCAAAATATTAAACTTTAATATTTTATACTTCTACTAAATTAATTAAAATAAAATAAAATGATTAAATAATAACATAAAATGTTGTATTATTTTTGAGAATAAACTGACCATTAATCTTGTGCGTTTGGTTTGTTTATTGCAAATATACAACCCATGACTCGCCCACCGATTACACATTACATGCAATGGGTCCTTTTAAGGCTTTATATGGTAATTCAGTGAACAATATGTGATGAAAATTGCACAAGCAGTTTGCAAGTATGTTTTATATTGCTCTGATAGTGACCTACAACAAAATTGGGTTAATTATTTGTTGCCATAAGTCATAAGAATTTTATGTAGATAAAGAAATTTCACGAATTATTATTTTACGTAAACTATCCAAAATAAAACAACCACTTGGATAAATCAATAATAATTATTATGACCTGGTGATCAAATGAGGATAAAAAGTGTTTCTATGTTCCTACTGTCTGTCCACTCTAAGTTGGCTGAACTAAGGAATTTTGTTGTTTAGATATTAAAGAATTGTCGTACTGTGTGCTTTTAAAACAAATTTTATATTATAAATAATACTAGTATATAATATGTACTAGTATTATTTATAATATAAAATCTGTTTTAAAAGCACACAGTACGACAATTCTTTAATATCTAAATTACAAAATTCCTTAGTTCCGCCAACTTAGAGTGGACAGACAGTACTGTGCTATATTATTGATCAGCTTACTATTTACTTTATGTTTTCAGTTTATATTAACTTAATTCTATCCTTACAAAATTTTTGTGTTGGTCGCTGAATACATATTCAATCTATTGACATTTGTACTATTATAAGTGAAGACGAAACTATATATATATATATAAACACGAAAATAAAGTAACAATCTCAAATTTTTCTGTGCAAATCAAAATGAATCCCTTGAAAATAGACTAACAATCGATATAGAAGCATGCACTGCAGTTTTTCACAGTAAAGGAGAAGAGAATGTTTTATGGGCACTGTACCCAAAATTTTACTCTTTTCCTCCGTTACAAGCCCATAGCTCCCCTTCTTACCATACTTTTTGATCCAGTAACTGTAAAAACTAAATGTGTCAATTTTTTTTCAGATCTACACGGACTGGGCAAACCACTACTTGGAAAAGGCCCGGAGTAAAAAGCGCGTCAATTCTTTGGCGACAGACTGTAGTGACGGGGTTCTGCTTGCTGACGTCATCGAGTCGGCCAGTAAGTATTAGAAATAGTTAGCTACATGTAACATGACCCAACTACTAAACACGATGTTAAATTTTGACATTTTTCACGGGTTTTAAGACCAATTGTTTTTTATACGTATATAAGTTATACTTAGTAAAATGATTACTTTTTTCTCTTCGATACCTAAAAATGGCAATACGAGGTGTGTTCAGAAAATAACGGGAATTGTTAAATTTCGCGGGTTCGGAGGGTCCGGTTGTCATAAAATTTTCTTTATTATGTTGGTATGCATGTCCCCGAAGTATGATAAAAACTTTAGCTGTTTTCATTGTTTACTTTGTCTGTGGCAGCCGCTAAGGTTAGACGTGTTTTTATGAGCTCGGCGATTTTTCGTTCGTTAAAAGAAATGGATCAAAGAATTTGTATCCAATTTTGCTTAAAAAATAAAATAAATTCTGTGAAATGTTAACAAAGGCCTATAGTGAGTCTGCTATAAGTATAACAAGAGTTTACAAGTGGTATAAGAGTTTCCAAGATGGTCGTGAAGACGTTGAAGCGCATTAACAACCGATAAAAACATGGAAAAAGTCGAAGAAATGGTTATAAACCATCAGAGAAGTCGCTGATGATGTTGGTATATCAATTGGCTCATTCCATGAAATTTTTCGAATGTTTTGGGTATGAAATGCGTGGCAGCAAAAATTGTTAAATTTTGAACAAAATTTTTGGCCAAAAAGAATACTTTAATGATGCCCCAGCCTCCATATTCGCCACATGCCTCTGTCTGACTTTTTCCTATTCCCAAAAATAAAGAAAACCTTAAAGGGCCGTCGTTTTGCAAGCATAGATGACATTAAAAGCGCATCGCTGAAAGAACTAAAGGCTATCCCAAAGATCGAGTTTTAGAAGTGTTTCGAGTATTGGAAGAAGAGCTGGCACATGTGCATAATATCCAATGGGGACTATTTTGAAGGCGACAACATTAATGTTTAATCGTCAATTAAACAAATTTAATATCTTATACTTTCCAAAATTTTATATTTAATATTTTTTTAATTTTTTATTATTTTAATTTTTTATATTTAAATAATTTAATATTTCGAAGCGGTGACCGACCCAAAGGTGCTGAGCCTACAAAATCAGTACCAATTAATCGGTCATCGCCGTTAAAACTGCATATTTGCACATTGTTTAAATTATCTAGTTGCTACGTCACATTAGAATTATGTATAAATAGGAATTAATTGAATAAAACTTCCTCTTTTTCAACCACAACCAGCCTATCATTCACATCTACCTAACTACCCTCAACATTCCCTAAACTCTACAAGAGTTTACATGGTCCTTCGAACTCAAAAATAATCAGTGAGCGGTAAGCAAGACCAGGGTTTTCTTCCCTGCACTCACTTACTGATTATAAAATAAGCCAACCAGGGTAACAAACCCTTAAATTCAGTGGGCGGTAAGCAAGACCAGGGGTTTCTTCCCTGCACTCACCCACTGAGGTTAGCTAAACAAGACCAAGCTCTATTAAGACGTGGGCAGTAAGCAAGACCAGGGCTTTCTTCCCTGCACTTACCCACAGACTAATAGTGCCAACTCACACCCTTCCTACCTGCACCCACCCTTAAACTTCCCTAAATTCTACAAGAAGACATCCCACAAACTAAAAACAGCAACATCAAAACCCAGCACAATGGAGGAAACCAACAAAATAGTGGCCAAACAAGAAGAAATTGGGCAAGCCATCTCCAAGCTATTGTCAAATTCAAAAAAGGACTCGTCCATAAGAAAAACACCCCAATATATTACGGAAAGGACAGCCAAAATCGACGAATTAGTACAACAATGTGCAGAAAACAACAAGAAGTTAGAAGAATTGAAGTGTACCTCTCACGTATACTTTACTACTAAGTATTATGAACAAATACTAAACAAGGCAGAAGAAACTAGAAAATACCTATCGACTTGTGCCAAACAAACAGAAGTACAAAGTGAAACAAACAACGAACAAATTATTAGACTCCGTAAACAAAAACTACGCCTAAACTCCCTAAAACGCAACTTAGAGAGTTTAGGAACAGAACTTATGGTAGATAAACCAAAGTACAGATATGAAAATCTGATGAAAAAACTGTCAAGCCAGTGGAGTTCACTGCAAGAACTTCACGAAGAGCTGATAGTTCACGAAGACGAATTTACTGACCAGTACTTCCAGGACGAACAATTTGAAGAAATAGAACTACTTTATGATGAATATGTGGAAAAACTAGAAGAAAGAATAGCAGAAAGCAACAATGAGAGTAAACCAAACCTCTCATTACCAAAAATACAACTTCCACACTTCAAAGGCGGATACGAAAACTGGGCAACATTTCATGACATATTTACTAAGGTCATTCATGAGAACAAGACAATCTCACGCATTGAAAAAATGCAATATCTAAAAGCGCATGTCCGAGAAGAAGCCAGCCGACTGATCCAACATCTTCATATTACCGATGGAAATTATGAAGCAGCCTGGGAACTTCTCAAAAAACGATACGAAAATACACGAATAATAGTCAGCAAACTAGTGGATCAAATCCTGGATCTTCCAAAAATTCAAGGTGAATCCACAAAACAATTACAAAGATTACATGAAGTAACAAATGAATGTCTCAAAGCGATTGACAATTTGGGCATTTCAACAGAACCATGGGGTCCATTGATTGGAAGAATTATCAGTCGAAAATGGGATGAAGAAACGAACAGGCTCTACGAACAATCATTAGAAAACCCGACCCAAGTACAAACACTAGCTTCGATAATGAGCTTCTTAGAAAGAAGATTCCAATCGTTAGAAGCAACAAAAAATTACACAAAACCGATGTTTCACAAAAACACGCATAACACTTCCAACGTGAACTACAAGACAAAGGAAAAAACACTATCATGCACCATGTGCCAACAAACGCATGCCCTAGTAAGATGTCCAAAATTCCTGTCGATGAATGTGGCAGAGCGAAACGAATTTGTCAAGTCAAAGAAACTGTGCTACAATTGTCTTGGTCACAGTTCGGAAGAGACTTGCTACAGTAAATGGAGTTGCAGAACATGTAACAAACAGCACCACACATATTTACATACGGAAAAACAACCACAAAAATATGTAAACAAATCATTTGGATCAAAACAAGATAGTCAAACAAAAATAACAAACTATCAAACAACGAATAAACACCAAGAAGAACGTGCAGTTCTTTTGGCCACAGCTCTAGTCCGAGTCAAGGCAATAAATGGAAGCATGGAATATTTACGAGTTTTGATAGATTCAGGATCACAGGCTGCTCTTATAACAGAAGAAGCAGCTCAACTATTGGGATATCCTCGGCAGAAAATAACCGCAGAAGTCACTGGTTTAGGAGACAGTCCAAAACAATCCAAGTCAAAAATTCAGTGTGAGATCAAATCCCGATTCCCGAGCAATTTCTCACTATCAGTAAATTTCATAGTATTGCCAACCTTAACACAAAAACTACCGAGCGAACCAATGATGCCTGAAATTCCAACCAATTGGAAGAATTACCCACTTGCTGACCCAACATTTCATCATCCTGGACCAATTGATGCCATTCTAGGAGCAGAAGAAGTTAGCCACATTCTCCAAAAGGGCCTAGAGAGATCTAACGATGGACTACTTGGTCAAGAAACTACTTTGGGGTGGATTTTATCAGGCAGCATAAGAAAAAGCCCAGCAGTAAAAATTTTAAGCATGGTTAGCCGCGTAGAAGAAGATAAACAACTGACAAAATTTTGGGACATTGAAGAGGTGACAAATTATCAACCCCGCCCATTGTCTCAGAATGAGATAGATTGCGAAGCACAATACAACAAGACTATAAAACGAAACAAAGATGGGACTTACACAGTCAATACACCATTTAAAGAACATCCACCAAATCTAGGTGATTCGAAACCAAAAGCCATAGCCCGTTTAATGCAGCTCGAAAAGTCGAAGCTTAACAAGCCATCAAATCAGAACTTAAAAGAACAATACAACAACTTCATGCAAGAATACATTAACCTTGGTCACATGAAGCCAGTCAAACCAGAGAAAATAAATGAAGGAAGATATTATATCCCTCATCAGCCCGTCATACGAGAAAGCAGTTCAACAACAAAACTAAGAGTAGTATTCGATGCATCATCAAAGACTACAAATGGAAGGAGCCTTAACGAGACGATGCATATTGGCCCAAGACTTCAAGAAGAACTGACTGATATTTTACTACGATGGAGAAAACACAAGGTAGTATTTACCGCTGACGTCGAGAAAATGTATCGACAAATACATTTATCTGAAGATGATCAACACTACTATCGAATATTATGGAGATTCGATACAAACCAACCAATCACAGAGTATGCTTTAACAACCGTGACATACGGAACAGCAGCCGCGCCGTACCTAGCAATAAAAACACTGCAAAGGTTGGCAATTGACGAAGCATCAAAATTTCCGAAAGCATCAACCGTAGCTCTTCGAGACTTCTATGTAGATGATCTAATGACCGGATGTGATTCAATTGAAGCAGCCAAACACCTTCAAGACGAAATCATTACCTTGCTTCAATCTGGAGGATTCAATCTTAGAAAATGGTCAAGCAACAAAACAGAGCTAGTATCCCGTCTACCAGATGAACTTCAAGAACAAAAAAGCTCAGAAATAATGGAAGATGATGTGAAAAAAGCGCTCGGAGTACACTGGGCCCCTGCTGATGATACATTCCGATTTAAAGTAGAAGTAACAGAACAAACCAAAATAACAAAAAGAACAATACTCTCCGAAGTGGCAAAATTATATGACCCCTTGGGATGGATATCGCCAGTTGTGGTAAAAGCAAAACTACTTATTCAAGAACTATGGATTAACAATCTTGAATGGGATCAACAAGTACCTCCAAAGATAAAAGATAAATGGGATAACTTCTATAAACAACTGAAAAGTGTCGAAGATATTCATATTTTCCGATGGATTCACTACTCCC